AGTGAGGTAAGCTACACATTAAACAAGGAAACCGAACAACACTCAGCCACACTGAGCGAAAGAACTACCAAAAATACAACTAAGTCTACTCGATTTATGTACTCTCATGTCTCAAAATCTTTCTCTAAGCTGCAGAATGCGGCCACAACGCAACAATTTAAATTGACCACACGAATTAAACATTGAAAACAAATTTGCGAAATTGCTTTTGGCTGAGATACAGATACCAGATACTGATAGCGAGATACAGATACAAGGCAATGAGGCTAAAATTCAAAAACTGCATTTAGAAGTTTCTGAGCATGCGCAAAACGATTTATATAGAGCAGAGCATAATGTAATCATTAAACTTTTAAAGTAAAACTAAACACAAATATCGATTAACGATTAACGACACCTAAAAGCCAACAATCTGCTAGCTAATTCGTACACCTAAAGCAAAAAACAAGGCCCGAGCTGATCTTTTACGAAGGCCAGAGAAAACGAGGGTGTTTTGAGCCAAATACTAAGCCATATGCAAAGAATTACACTTAACTAGAGGAATCTCAGCTTTTCACTCGACTCAAGTCAAATTTGCTAATTCTAAATTGAAAATCTTCTTACATTCACATCTCAACACGACACACAAGACAAAAGACAAAAAGTCTTGAGTAAACACGACAAAATATTGTAAGTAGCGCATTCAAATCATTATTCAATACCACTTAATATAGAGGACACCTATGCCGGAATATAGAGTGCGACGAAAGCTGATGAAACGTAGTTAGTAATATTTTTTAGTGTATGTGAATGTGTGCGCTTTTTACCAGCGATTTACGAGCAGCAACTGTGGTGTTCTAAACAAATTTTGATAGATACAATCGGTAACCAAATGGCGAAAACGTTAAGTTTCCTTCCGACTTCTGGCTATATCTTCTATGACTTCTATTACTTCTATAACTTCTATACTATTTCTATAACAACTTCACGCACTTGCGCTCGAACCGCCAAAGGGGAACGCTCTGATTTTTGTACATAGCCTGTAAATATGATAAGCAACTGATACTGATACTGGAGTATCTCGAATACGTTATCCTTTACCTCGTTTATCCTGTGCTGTTTCGTTTTGCTGTTCAAAGAGTTTCCGGTCTTAATTGTAATTGTTCAAATGATAAACACTGCCAAAGCGTATAGAAATCACATTTAATGTAGATCAAACAACCAAAAGCAGAAAGCATTCATTCAACAGCGGGAAATCCAAAGAAGCGTAACAAGAAAATGGCACAGAACAGCATCCAATGGGTTTGTTTGTTTCCACAGAAGATTAGCGAATAACAAATTTAAGTAAAACGAATTCGAGCTTTTAAATTTAATACGAAAAAAAATATGACAACAATGGATAAGTGAAAGCGAAAATAGAGAAGAGCCAATTACTATTTTGTTTCACATTTGATTTGTAGTGGAATTTTGTGTAGCCTAGGCTTACCCAGAACGTAAATTAAAAACAAAATATGTGAATATTATGCGCCTTCGAAATTTATGTAAACGTGTATGTAGCCGTGCAATGTGAGAAACATTTAAACTCCATTAAAGTAAATTAAAGTTAATGGTAAAGGTAAACGTAAACGTAAATAGTCAAGTGTAAATGTTAACGAATCGAGAGCATAGCATAGCTTAGCATAAACATAAGACGACTAGATATCGCGACAAGCAGTTCATATATTGTTAATGATAAACTTATTATTAAATCGACAACAAAACGCATTTGCAATCCTAAAATAAAGCGAGACGATGATTGGTCGTATGGTGGCGTAGCGAAAACCCAAAAGTTAAACATAATTTTTAAATGAATAAACTAGTTATTAAATTTATAGAAACGTCACTTATACAACTACACACCACACCACACCACACCAATACTAACACACACACTCACACTCGACAGCGATGACCCCAACAACAAGAACAAAATGAACTCTCGATGTTGTGAAACTTGATAAAATCATGTTTACGCTATAGCAGATCTACATAACTGAAATAAAAGGAACGCAAACGCAAGTAAAGTAAATATCCAACCACGAAGCAAACAAAATGATTAATCCGAAAGTATAGAAAATGAAAATATACAAAGCTGCCTTTCCCATTCGCATTTCCGATTGAGAATAACTTCGAGAATTGTTCCACTTCGCTCAATTTAACACTTTAGAGCAGCTTTGTTCACAAAGAATAATATATATATACATACATATATATTAATAATGTCGCATAAAACTACTTAATGCCGTATAAACTAGTGTAAGTGCAAAGGTTTTTGTAGAAAATTTGTCAATAAAAAACCACAAAAAATATAAAATATATTATCATACTCGTAAATGTGAAGCTATGCAGCATTTTACTGTAGTTAGATTTTTTGTATAGAAACAACGTTTGCAGCTAAAATCCAAAACGAAAACCGAAACTAATATGATAATTTTACAGGTTTAAGCAACAGGCGGAAATGTTCATTTTTTAAGGAATAAAGATATTTAAAAATATCATAATTAACATAACAAATAGCAACTAAAAACGAAAAAATATTTTTTATAATTTCGCAGCACTTTCACATGATACCCGCACACGCAGAAATACACACACACATTGTGTGCTAAATAAATTGTATAAATAATGCAAGCCCAAAAAAAATGCAAATCATATAATTGTAGTTACATTTTTTTAGTTTTTACTCGCTATTTATATGAGGTATATTTACACAACGGAAAAAGTAAACGTAGACATAAATAAAACGTAAAAAGCGATAAAAAATAATTAATTTATATTAAAATAAAATTACATTAAACCGAAATCAGAGCAGAAAGCATGAAATGACAAATTAGGTTAGTTTAAAGCGGCCTCAAAAAGGCAAAAACAACAACCAGTAAATAACATTTTTAATAACAAATTAAAAAGCTAAAAATGCATATTTTAAACATTTGTCTTAAACGCAACCGAAAAAAAAACAAATGATAAATGTATGAAATAAAAGGTATAATAATAATATTATGTTGTTAATGTTTAAAAAACCTTGTTAAAAATAATATTTCAAAATAAAATATAAATACTAAAAAAAATAGCAAAGAAATTACCACCAAAAATAATTGACAGCTTTTTAAAAGTGAAATTTTGATTTATGATACACAAGTTTGGGCCGGCCAATACTGACCCACTAAAAGCAGGCCCGAACGGAAAAAAATTCCAATGACCAATTGCGTTTAGAAATTGGACGTTGCGCCCTGCATAAAATGCCACCCATTATTGTAAACTGGGGAGCATTTCATAAGCATGGCTCATTATCATCGAAGGCCTTTGGTAAATGGAAACAAGTGGCGAGCAATTACGATTGGGCCTACTCTGCCGAAAATGCATTCGTTATAGGACACAAGCGAAGCTTTAAAAAATCATTTTAAGTTTCACTACGAAATAAATAGGGCCAAATTTTATGGCTAAATGTAGGTGTCAATTACAAATCTGAAAATTAAAATATATTGCTTCTTAAAGCAAAAGTCATTTTTTTTCAAAAGTCCAAAACCCTGGAAAATAGTGGCGAAAACTTTGTTGATTTTGCCCGTCAAAAAATCGTATTTTTCCCGTGCAGAATAGGCAATTTCTGATTTTGAAGTACCAGGCGAACAGAAAGCTAAGCAAGTGACAAGAATAGGAGCAAATTTCGACAGATTAACTGTTCTTTCTTAATGATGGCTGCGAATCCACGGATTCCCATTGGTCGGCCAATAGGAAGCCAGCTTGCAGAACACTTGAGAACAACCGTTAGTTTCGTTCAAAGCACACAAGGGCGTAGTCGGCCGGAGCAGGGTTTTGGGGGTCGAAAGCCCCCAATTAGCGATTTTCATCCCCCTTGGCAATATTCTAAATACGCCTCTGATAAACGCAGAAATCTGAAATTTGGACACTTACTAACGATTATGTTGGCCTGGTGTTTGAAATCGAAAAACTTGCTTTTGCTGGTCAAAATGGACCGACAAAATTCTATTTTTCCCGTGCAAAATAGGCAATTTCGGATTTTGAAGTACCAGGCAAACAGAAAGCTAAGCAAGTGACGAGAATATAAGCACATGTCGACCGATTAACTATTCTTTTCATAATGGCTGCCAAACCTTGAATTCCTATTCGTCGGCCAATAGGAATTCAGGGTATGCCAGCCATTATGAAGGATACCGTTAGCTTGAAACTAAGCTCAAACTAGAGCTGAGCAAAGGGCTTTATTCTTAGTTCTTGTCATGGATTTGGCAAGCCAAGCACGATTCTGGCTATTTTTTTTGTTTGGCTTAAATACTGATTTTGTTTGGAGGGGAAAAGCAGGATTTTTAAGTGGACAATGAGGAGTATGATTTTTGTAAGTTAATCACAAGTCACATTAAAATCTGATGTTAAGATTTCTGTTCAATTAAAAATGGAGAGAGATCTGGGATAATTTAAAGCTTAAAAATCGTAAAAAATTGAAAACTTGTTAAGCTTCTTGCCACTTTCTTTCCTTTTTCGCCTGAAATCCATTGTCAACGTCCACTGTGCCTGCCGCATTTCGTAATGTCAATCGGCGGCATTGCTCCTGTTTGCTGCCTCTGCCGACGGCCAGAGCAAAAAGCAATGCCAACAGGTGCCAGGCCGCATTTGTGGCATTTTGGCCAGCTCGCGTTCATGTGCGCCTGGTCCGCATTGCTTTTTAAGGTAAAGAGCGACTGCTGACGCGAGACAACGAGTTCGCTGCTTAAGTCTTTTGTTTTGCGCCGTCTCTATCTTTCTTTTCTTTCGCCGGCCAAGAACAGTCAATGGCAAAACACTTTCGTTGCGATTAATCGGCCACTTGCTGGCGATTCATGTTGCTGCTGGTCGCGTGCTGCGCTTTGCCCGTTGCAAACTAGTTTTTCGGCGCCACTCGGCGGCGAAGAGGCAAAGGCAAGAAGAAAATCCGACCACTTTCTTCGCGCTGCGCACTTCCAATGCGAGTCGTCGTCGCTGCATTCCAGTGAGCTCCAGCGGATCGGCACATGGTTTTTGTCCGCTGCCGTCGACCGACTAGCACTCAGTTGTCTACGCGACTTGAACAGGTGCGGACGTCGCTTCGAATTCCTCTTTCGAATTTCTTTTCGAACTTTCTGTGCGTGCAGCTTGAGCCGAAGAAAGCGCCGCGGCGCTCGCTGACATGAAGTTAATTGATGTGATTATATACCTAATTGCCATTTTGATCTTCATCTATTTGCTGCTGGAGTAGCAGAAGAAGCCAAAAGTCACTTCACAATTGCCCAGAGCTTTCTACAGGCCAACACTAACAATTAAAACAACGAAAACATTTACGAGTCCCAGCAAGATGAGGGTAAGTGAATCACGCGGAGATTGCGAGTTTGTTGGCCACAATTAGCGGTTATTAAAAAGTCTCTCACTGCGCACAGCACACCAGTTAATGGATTGGCTTTAATTTCAATGCAAATGCATTCGCATTGGCATTTCTTTTGCTTTGCGATCAACGACTCCAGATTCACCGTCAGAGTCAGAGTCAGATTTTGATTCACCTTCACCTTCACCTGCAAATCCAATTACAATCGAAACACAATGCCGCCGCATCTTCAATTGAATTGTCAGTGAATTGAAGTCGCCTGAATATTTGACAAATTGTAATGTGGCCGGCAAAGCGAGCACTTTCATTTGCAATGAGAGCACTTGATGCGCCAAGTTTCGCCAAGATCCAGACAATGGATGGCTTTACGTGCACCAATTACACTGCTGCTCGCCTGCATTTGCCTCAATGTGCAGCGGGCTTGAAATAAAATGCTTGCCGCTAAAATAAAAGTTGCATTTCGAGTTGCAATTTGGGTTAACCACACCGTTGTTTATGGCCGTCGCCGCGGTGACAGGCCGCTGATCAATAGTTCCGCTTAGGCCGTTAGGAAAATCCTTTGTCAGGTTCATTGGTCTGTCGGCCGAGCCCAGGGAAACCCGAAACTGAGCGAATTCCATTTGGGTTTTCGTGGAACAAGTTGCCGCGGGCCAGGGACTTTTGAGCTTCGCATCCGTCTCCTGGCAGTTCATTCACCAGAGACGGCACTGCTATTTGCATTTGATTATGCATATTGCAAAGGCGACAAACTAGCTAACCACTCCACAAACAATAAGCCACCAATTTGGCAGCAATTACGACCACTGACCACTGACCACCGACTGTCTCCTTGGCAGTCCGTCTCTGTTGCGTTTGAGCAGGCGCAGCACGTAATCAATAACGATACGTATTGGAACCGCTTAGGCATTTCACCCCGTGATTGACGTCTGGCTCTAACGGCATACCGCATTGCCATTGTCATTGCCGCCGTTTCGGTGGGGCAGCCCAGGTGAAATTGCCATGTCCAGTTGCTTCCACAAATTGCCGACTTCCCCTTCGATCGACCAAGACCCCAAGCAGCCAAGCAGAGAGCTGCACACTCCTCTTTTATCTGCTGTTTTATATCATCGAATATTTATTATGCTTAGACATGTTTCGACCATTCTGATAAAATTCTGATTAAAGTGAGCGGAGAATGAATAACAGTAGAATTATTTTAATATTTATTTGTCACTTCTCAAAATAAAATCATTACTAAAAATAGGACCCACCCAATAAAGGTTACTTGGTGAAAACATGTTAATACATTTTTCTTCGCATGCTTAGTCTTATATTAAAACCATTCAAATTTAAGAGTAGATTTTTGTAGGTTCGAATCAAGCCTTCAAAAACTAAATTCTGTACAAAATAAGTTTCACAATAGTTTCAAAGGAAATGTACATTTATTTTATTTCTAAATTCATTTCATTACGCGCCTTATCAAAAAGGTAAACTTTTTTCTTTTCTCCTTAACTGCCTAACACCATTTTGGTAATCAATAAAAACGAACCGTAATGAAAGTGCTGCAAACAGAGTCAACAAACCATAATACCCGCCGAAAACGTAAACAAGTTGACAGTGACAATTACAGAACGAAGACACTTCGATATTCGACTTTTCACTTTCATTCTACGGCATTGCGGACTGAAAGTTTAATCAGCCATCGAAGCGGGGAAAATGGGCAAGTATTATGGCATACCCGTATAAATATATAAATACTTTGTTGGCTCGTTTGCTTAAGCAGCTTTGGTTAAGTAGTCAGCGGCAGGCGACGTGATAAAATTTTAGAAAACCGCCAATTTGTTCAAATTAAGGCCATTACAGTTTGGTTGCTGTCCAGCGATTACACGACCCTCCCCCTGCCCCTGCCACGCCCCCTTTCGCCTTCGCCGGGCTTAGAAAGTTTTTATTTCTTTCAGCGTTTTGTTCGATGTACGCGTAATTAAGTTTTTGATTTAATGGTCTTTGACATTGCCCCCTTCTTTCCCCCCCCCTCGACAGCCTTTCCTGCTGCTGGCCCTGATTGTGGCGCTGGCCAACTGTGAGCAGCGTCCGCTCGTCTTCACCAACTGGCCGCCCAAGAGCGGTCGTCCCGCCGCCGCAGGAGTCGCCGCTCCGCCGGGAAAGCCCCGCACCCTGGTCGTCCAGATACGCAGCGATCAGCCGGTGCCGCTGGTCCTCAAGGGTCGTCCTGGCCATGGCCACGCCCAGCACAGCCATGCCGCCCACCTGGCCCATCCGCACGCCGTGCATCCCCATGTCCTGTCACACGCCCACTCGCACGCCCACCTCCACTCGCATCCGCTGATCCACGTGCCCCAGCATCCGCATCCGCATCAGTACCAGCACCAGCACCTCCGCGGACCACCACGTCCCGTGAAGCTGAGTGGTCCGTCGCCAGTCTATCTGAAACCCGCAGGCACCCTGCGGAAGCCACTGAAGATCAAGCTGAACAACCTGAAGCCCAAGGCGAAGCCCACTTTTGGCTACGACAAGCCCTTCAAGTACGAGAAGCCAGCAGTGAGCTACAGCGAACTCCAGAATCTACCGGTAAGTTGGGTTCAGAACAAATCCATAAGAGGGTATTTAATAGTTCGAACTGATTTAGTTTCTTTAATAACTTCTAGCCATTACTTAGATTCTTAAAAACAATAAAAATCCAGAGACATGGTGAATACGTTTTCAATTGAATAAAGTTTAGATGTCTATGCAAAATTGCAAATACTTTCATTCAATTGAAAATATCTCTTGCCCACATTATTTTGCCATACATATTTAATCTCAGTAAGCCAATTTGCTTACATAAAATCAAATCAAGATTTGCTTGAATAACATTATCAATCTTTTTTTTATTGTGAAATAATGGTGAAATGGTAACAAAGATAGCTGCACTGTTACCTAACTGGGTAACTTAAACAAATCAGAAATAATAAACAGAACAATTAGTTATGTCAGCAGCACATAATAAATATAAATTATAGAAAAATTATATAAATTGAGCATAAGGATATGCGAGAAATTTAAGTTTAGTATTGCTGGTAATCATTAGGTCAAAACCCGAGCCAGCAGGTCTTAAGGAAATAACATTATCAATCGTTTTGTTTTTCATATGAGATAGTTTAACCGAATGCTGCTGCCATATCAGTTGAAAGGTTATAACGTCTTTAAAAATACCACCGAAAATGAAATCAGTTCGAACCCTTACTCAGAGCTTTAAATGTGCACCTTACACTCGCTCAGCACACAACCAAACAACTGACATGACTCCAAACATGCCGATCCCCCACAGCTGGACACGCACAACAACTTCAACACCGAGCACTTTGCACCCATTTACACGGTTCCCGCACCGAACCTGGCCGACAACCACCTGGATGTGGAGGAGGGTCACCTCGACTCCTCCTACCTGTACACGCCCCCCTCCCCGATCCCGCCCTCCTCGGCCCGTCCCCAGACATACTTGCCACCGAAGTACAGTGTGCACGAGGACGAGACCAATGACCAAACCATCCGCGATCCCATTTCGGGCTCGCAGAAACTCTTTGCCCCAGATCCAGATCCCTCGCTGCCCACCACCAAGATTCGTCCGCCCACCGAGTCGTTTAACACGCCCAGCAACAACAAGCCGCTGCCCGCCGATGTCCAGAGCAATCACCTGCCCGCCCAGCCGCTAGTCCAGATTGTGGGAGCCCAGGCGGCTGCCCAAACGGCGCCGGAGATCTATCCCATCCAGTATGCCCAGCCGGCGGCGGTTCAGAGTCAGTCCTTCATCGCCGCCATTCCTGCGGCCCACATCCCCATCTACAATCCCACTTACCTGGTCACGCAGTCCAATCAGCTCTACTCCGCGCACAAGCAGCAGCTTTTCAAGCCCAGCTCGGAGCCGGTGGTGGAGTCGGGCTACGTGAATGCCGATCTCACCCAGGAGGTGGCCAGCAACGGGCAGATCCTGCAGGCGGCCAAGGACCCGCACCACAACATCCATCCCGTGCTGGACTCCGCGCCGCAATACGCGGCCCTGATTGCCGCCCCGGCTCTGGGTGATCATGGCGAGAGCGCCTTCGAGACGGCCTCCTTCCACCTGCCCAACGTGGCCTCAGCGGTGACTGCCTCCGTTCCGGAGGGCGGCTTTGTGGTGTCCAACTTCTATGGCCACGCGCACGACTCGTCGCAGTTACTGCAGGCCTACGCGGAGGAGGAGGCACGCCGCCAGCAACTGGAGACGGAACACGCAGCCATTGAGCTGCAGAAGCAGCAGCAATTGCATCTCGAAGAACTCAAGGCTCAGGCCCAGGAGCAGCAGCAGCAGCACCAATTGCATCTGGAGGAGCTGAGGGCTCAGGCGCAGTACCAGCAGCAGCAGCAACAGCAGTTCGAGGAGTTGCAGGCCCAGGCACAGGAGCAGCATCTGCAACAGCAACACCAGCAGCAACAGCTGCAGCTTCTGCAACTGCAGCAGCAACAGCAGCAGCTGCAACAGCCAGTGCAGCACCACCCGCAGCAACAGGTGCAGCAGTTGCAACACCAGCAGCAGCAGTTGCAACACCAGCAGCAGCAGCAGCAACAGGTGCAACACCAGCAGCAGCAGCAGATCGCTCAGGATCCAGCAGCAAGTGCCTTCGAGGAGCACCAGCGATTGGTGCAGCAGCAATTGGGCGCGAACACGCCGCTTCGCATCTTTGTGCCCGACGAAGAGGCTTCCGAGTCGGTGAGTCCATACATAATAATTAGCAAACTAAGTTTAAAGGATTGGCTGTGAGCAACCACGAGCGTACAATTTGTCTTTCGATTTAAAATTTGTAAATTTACCAATGCCTCACGGTTGTTTTTATATTATGTTCCAATCAATAATCTTAAATAGGCGCCACAAAATCTCTAATAATGAGTTTTTGCTGGTATTAAAACTTTAATAAAAGACAAAATATCTCTAATAGCTTTATCATTTCATCTCCGTGTGTGAAAAAGTTCAAAAAACTAACAAAATGAATACTTACAAAACCACTTTATAAATCATATTTTGAATTTTCTCTTTCCCAGCGGCTGCAAAAACGATCGGATGACGTGAAGAAGGGCACCGTGGAGGATGTGCCCAGCGGGGATCCGATCGAGAGCGACAGCGAGGAGTCAGCCAAAGATTTGTTCGAGGTCTCAACCTCCGTCGAAGTGGCCGGCGAGCATCTCACGGCCAGCAGTAATTAGTTAACGCACATTTAGTCTTCGACGCTGTTCAAAAATATTTATTTACACACTCATTTGTAAAAACGCATTCATGTAGCGAGCAGTCGGTAGTTTAATAAATATAATCATTAATTTATTCAACTTTGCGTGTTTCACTGATTTTTAAAGTAACGATAGCAATCGTTAGTTTGGGGGTCTTGGATATGATTAGGCACATCTTGATGAAATGTATTTAATCTCAGAAAATAGATAAATAATATTTGGAAAAAGTCCATTATGTTTTACATTGTATATTTCGGCATTTATAATAGGAAACATTCTGTTGAAAATGGAAATCGACAAGCAAGAAAGTCAATATTTCTGCTTAAATAATTGTTTAACTATTTTGTTTTTCACTTTCTCTGTTAAGATGATGGGACGCTTATTTAAATAAAACAAAGAATATTTAAAAATAAAACGTTTTTCTCTTAAACAACCGCCATTTGGCTAAATATTATAAGCAGTGCACCGTCCCCAGCAAGCAGTGGTTTCAACCATCGTTAGAGATGGAAGACTTCGGCGATGCCCTGCTAAATATCGATATTAACATTTTTAAAACGTTTTCCACCTCTAGCACTGAGCTCTGGTCACACCGAGCAAACACATTTTAGCCGAAAGTTGTTGTGATCTGCACCATTCCCGTGAATTATTTAGAAAATAAAGCCTGCTAGACAAGATGATTATTCCAATCCGTTGCTTTACTTGCGGCAAGGTCATCGGCAACAAGTGGGAGTCGTACTTGGGCCTCCTGCAGGCGGAATACACGGAAGGGTAAGTCACGCGCGAAAAGTTCCAGTCCAATATAATTTTCTATGTTGTATTTTCCGATTCCAGAGATGCCCTCGATGCTTTAGGTCTGAAGAGGTACTGCTGCCGTCGCATGCTCCTTGGTCACGTGGATCTCATCGAGAAACTGCTCAATTACGCTCCTCTGGAAAAGTGAACACGACTATGGGACATCCAAACCGGACTTGGGAATAAAAACTCTAGATTTTATTGTAAAATTACAAATTAAAGCTTGATGTAGAGCCCTAGAAGTTATGTATTAGCCCAAGTTGGTTGCCTCACATCTTGTCCATGAACCAGGGCTGTCCGTTGTTCTCGCGACGTTTGGTCAGGATCTCGCATCCGGTTTCGTTGACCAGGAGCGTCTGCTCGAACTGGGCGGAGAACAAGCCATCGGCGGTCACAGCGGTCCAGTCATCAGGCCAGGTCTCGGCCTTCTGCACGCCAATGGAGATCATGGGCTCGATGGTGAAGCAGTGACCAGGTGCCATCACTCCCACGGCAGAGTTTTCTGTTGAAGCAGAATATTAAAAACTTCCCAGCTAATTTCGGTTGCCCCCAAACTTACTGGCATAGTGAGGCACATTGGGTGCAGTGTGAAAAACGCGGTGAATGCCATGTCCGCAGTAGCTGCGCACCACACTGAATCCATGAGGAGCCACATACTTCTGGATCACGTTGCCTATGTCGCGGTACTTCTCGCCCGGACGCACAAACTCAATTGCCTTGCTCAGCGCCTCGTGGGTGACCTGCACCAACTTCTTGTGCTTCTCCGAGACATTGCCCACGAAGAAGGTCTCGTTGAGGTCGCCGTGGAAGCCGCGATGGTAGACAGTGACATCGATGTTGCAGAGATCTCCGTCCTCCAGAGGCCGCTGGTCCGGGATGCCGTGGCAGATCACCTCGTTGACCGAAGTGCAGCAGGATTTGGGGAATTTGTAGTAGTTCAAGGGCGAGGGATAGCACTCGCGTTCGATGGCGGCTTCGTGGACCAGGCGGTCCAGTTCGTCGGTGGTGGTGCCCACCTCCACGCCCTTGGCGCCCTCATCCAGGCACTCTCTGCCAAGTCTGCCGGCCACACGCATTCCCTCTATCTCCTCGTCGTCCAGCACCTTGATCTTGGTCCCGCGAAGGGCCTCCTCCGACAGGGAACGACCTGCGGGATGATCGGCGTAGTCCGGACGCAGGATGGCCTCCGGAACGGCCCGCTTGGAAGTCTGTGGGAATGGGCGCAGCTTGCCGGTGAAGCGAAACTGCGGCCAAGGATTGTAGCCGCCATTCACTTCAGTGGACTGGGAAGCTCCAGCTGATTCAAAATGATTCCACATGTAAGTCGGGCTTGTTACGAATGGAGACTTTCTAAAACTCACCTGCCAGAGCATGGATCGCCTTGTGCTCCTTCCAGAATCCCTTGAAGCACGGCTGAGAGCAGAAGAAGGAGCCCTTGATGCCCAGCTTGAGACAGGTGGGACACTGCAGGGTCGCCTCCTTGCCGCAGTTGGTCGTCTCGCACTTTTGAGTCATTCTTCCCGGGAAGAAAAGAAAATTAAATAGGGAAAATTTTCTTGCCAAAAATAGTCCGACTAGAGCTGTGCAAACATCGATGGCAGAGAATCGATTTGAATACCCATTTGACAGTTATCGATTGGCTTGTGTCAGTGTTGCTTAACGCCCACTGTAACGGCCGTCGATTTAAAATTCCCTATCACTTTTTGAAAAACACTTTGTATTAAAAAATTTATTTGATTTCCAGGGAACAGCCTTGTCTCTTTAGGGTTCAGAATAAAAGTTTTTATAATAGCAGACTATGTTTTTTAACATATTTTTGTCATGAGTTTATAAATTGTGTGCCAATGGACTAGTTTATATTACATATACCCAAATATGTTACAAATAAGTGTAATCAATTTCAAGTTCCTCCAAAGATCTTTGATCTCGCTAAGGACACTGGCCCCCACGACGTCTTCGCCTTTGTTGTTGCTCGTCGGCGGTTCAAGCGCTGCCGCCCGCTGGCAATTTTTGCTCTGTTGTTCTCGGCGCATGCTCTCGATTGGTGGGCTCTATCTGGCTGCTCTGTTTATGTTCTCAAATCGCGAGCAACTTCGGTCGTGGACGGACGTGCTTTCGCAGTGAAAACGGAATCGGCATCGCGAAACGAAAGAATATTGGCAACAAACTTGTTTGAATCAAATGGCCAAACGCAAATACCCGCAACGGGCAGAAGGATAAACTGAACGGCCTGTGAAGTGAGTGTTTTTGATGGTGAAATTGTTAAACCCAAGCCCAGCCCAGAATTCTACCTGCAAGGGATGCTGTTCCGCGGCGGAGTCACACTATCGGTCCATTCAACAAGTGAATCAAGGGTTCTGGCTCCGCTAATCACAAATGCTGTGCTCGTGTTCTTCGCACTCGATTGAAATTCGATTATGATCATTGTGTGCATTGAAAGCGTTATCAGTTTCTGCCCTGATCTTTGGTTTTGCGTTATTATTATTCATTTCGCTGGTTTCCCTCGCCCGACGACAATAAGTGAACGTAAACACGTTGTTTTTGTTGAGGTTGCCGTTCATGTTGCTGCTGCTGCCGGGGATGTTGCTGCTGTTTCCATTGCTGCTGCTGATAGAAGCGCAGCACTCAATGGCTATAAATAAAAAACGGCACGCGGTGTGTGCACCACCGACTACGACTATCCCCCGACTTTCAGCACCACCAGCATCGCTGCATGATTTGTGGGTGTTCTGCGTCTTACGCTCACGCTATTATCTCCGCAGTGCGGTTTCCACTTTTCCTCTTTTCTCGCCGCACAAACAAAAAACAAATAGCGCAAAATCGCAGCGCAGATCTCGTCAATTGGCAATCCAAAGGCCGCCGGCATAATTAAAATAGAATCATTTTTGATTTCGCTTTGTGTCGTACGTGTGTTTTATTCGCAATACGGAACAATCGCGAGTCAAGGTGCCCACGAAAAGCCGCGAAATAGAAGGGAATTCCTCCCGGTGGCAACGAACTCGATGCCGCGGACCCAACTCATCTTGTCTGGCCTTTTATTTGTCTTGTTTTCCCTCTGTTGTTTTGCTGCAGCCTCCTTCTCCTTTTTTTTTTTGACCAACGATCCTCTGTCTTCGACGGCAATTAAAGGTAAGCCAAAAGGGTCCAGAGGCAGGAATTAGCCTTAATTGGCTTTGGTTGCGTCTTGTCTTGTCTTTAGAACTTTTTCGTGTGCGGCGCATTTTGTTTGTCTGTTTGTTGAATGGATGGTGATGGAAATTTATGCGTGGAGAAAGGCAGCAGCATTAAATGGAAAATATGAAATTCGTGTGAGAGTGTGGGAGGGGTAGGGGGAGGGGGAGTGGGGGAAGGGGTGTGTTTACCCCCAACACTTCCGCTTGCCAGAATATCAACTTCCGGTGGCGAACAATTGTCAGCGGAGGAAGCTTCGGCACAAAAGACGCATATTGATATTGTTGCCCAGGTTGCTTACGCTCCAATAAGCACACCCACATGCACACACACACACACCCACACAGTCGCACGGGCAGACAGGTCCTTGGTCCTTGGTCCTTGGGAGCCAGAAAACGCATTTCACTTTTGCTCCACTGAGTTTCCCCTTGTCTGGCAAACGTTTTGTGGCAACTTGGCCATTAAGCATTTCGTGTTTAAGCAGCAGGATCTGCTCCTTGCTTGGCAGGACGACGCAGGACAGCAAGGAATAAAAATTGCCCGCGTATGCATTTCTTAACAACATTTCCAGTCCTGGACACTCTGCCCACTCCCCAGCGACAACCTTTCATTTCATATTTTGTGGCAGCAACGCTTTGAATAGAATTCATTTGGATTCCCTTTCCCAAGACTCCGGGCTGCTCTCCATTTCCTTTTAAGCCACCCACTTTCCACTTTCCTCGTTCTTCGAACACGCACTTCAGACTGATAGCGCGTGCTTAACAAATTTCTCCTGTATTTTTCGGTCCTGATTCTCCTTCTCCACTTTTTGTCATGGCAATGGGAATTTTTCCGCATTTTTTGCTGTCGCAGCAGGGTAAAAATTAAAAGCGAATTAAGTTCGAGGAGGGGCAATTGGCAGTTGACAGCGAAGGTGGACAAACGACGATAACTGCACTTGACGGCGGATAGACCACAGGTATTATTAAACCCCAAATTTACCTGCCGACTTAGCAAGCAGGCAAATCTGCCAAAGAGATTTGAGTTATTTTATGGATATTAGAAAGTGTCCTGTATCTGCTTTAGCAGCCATGAATTTGGGGCTGTCTCGGCAAGGGTCCTCTGCACACAGAAAAATTCTTTTAAATATATATATGTTGTTTATTGTTACAGTCATAATTCCATTACTAACAAGAAAGGAAAGCTAACTTCGGGCGGAGCCGAAGTTGATATACCCTTGCAGAATACTCTGTAAATTATATTCTCCAAAATTATTCATATGATGCATTCTTAATACTCATAAAAAATCCAAACTTCCTAACTTTAAAAACACCAAAGTTAAGGCATTTCCAATCGTTCAGTTATATGGCAGCTATAGGATATAGTCGGCCGATAGTTATGAAATTTGGTAGGTGGGTTTGATTGGCCAACAATAAAACCCATAGAAAATCCCAACTTCCTAACTTAACAAACACCAAAGTTACGGCATTTCCGATTAATCAGTTATATGGCGGCTATAGGATATAGTCCTCCGATCCTTATGAAATTTGGTAGGTCGGATTGATTGGCCAACCACAAAACCCATAGAAAATCCCAGCTTTCTAACTTTACAAACATCAAAGTTATGGCATTTCCGATCAATCAGTTGTATGGCAGCTATAGGATATAGTCGTCCGATCCTTATGAAATTTGGTAAGTCAGACTGATTAGCCAAAACTAAAACCCATAGAACTTCCTAACTTGCTAACTTGAAAAACACCAAACTCCGTCTGTCCGTCCGTTTCTACGCAAACTAGTCCCTCAGTTTTAAAGCTATCTGCTTGAAACTTTCCCAAAAGTTGTCTTTCTATTGCAGGTAGTATATAAGTCGGAACGAGCCGGATCGGGCCACTATATCATATAGCTGCCATATAACTGAACGATCGGAAATGCCATATCTTTGGTGTTTTTAAAGTTAGGAAGTTGGGATTTTCTATGGGTTTTATTTTTGGCTAAAAAATCCGACCTGCCAAATTTCATAAGGATCGGACGACTATATCCTATAGCTGCCATATAACTGATTGATCGGAAATGCCATAACATTGGTGTTTGTAAAGTTAGGAGGCTGGGATCTTCTATGGATTTTATATTTGGTTAATCAATCCGACCTACCAAATTTCATAAGGATTGGCCGACTATATCTTATAGCTGCCATATAACTGAACGATTGGAAATGACATAACTTTGTTGTTTTTAAAGTTAGGAAGTTGGGACTTTTTTTAAGTATTAAGAATGCATCATATGAATAATTTTGGAGAATATAATTTATAGAATATTCTGCAAGGGTATATCAACTTCGGCTCCGCCCGAAGTTAGCTTTCCTTTCTTGTTTTATGGTTAATTTTGCTCTAGATGATTGCTTCTTGTATTTATGGCACAGAAATAAATCTTAAGAAATTTTAAAGAAATATATTACCTTTTCAAATAGTTATAATATATTAATTTAAAAGCTTCTGGCTTAAAATTTATTCAGTAAAATGAACAAGCCCATAGTTATTCTTTGCAATTATTAGATTGTTTCAAAAACCAGGGCACAGTTTACTGTCCCAACTCCTAAATACATCCAACATTTAATAAGTTATAAAATAGTTTATAAACCCATACTTTATTTCCCCAGTGGATAACCCGTGAAAAACAAATATTTTTCCGCATGTAGGCCCAACAGCTGACGCCACCCTGCTAACAAGCAGCCGTCGCATCCGAATCCACATCCTCCACTTCTCCGCTCATAGAAAGTGTCACCCCAGCAGCATCGCAAACCCCTCGAGTTATTTCTGCTGTATTTTTACTTCATCTTTTGCCGCGCCAGGCAGTGCCTCGAGTTTTTCCCCCGGACCTCAAGGATCCTTCCCAATTTTGGTTGCTATAAAGCAGAGTTAATGATATGTCGCAAGTGCTTGTTTGTCTGCCAGATTGTGGGTGAGTGCCTCCACATCCACATCCACTTCCAATTCCAATTCCACTTCGCTGAGTCCTGTCATTCCTGCGGCCCCGCCGCCCATGTGTAATTAATTAAAGTCTAAGCAGATTTTATATTTCACTTACTTGCCACGGACTCAGATTAATTTATGTGTAATTCTACTTTTTGTCATATTTTGTCTGGTAATTATTTTCCAAGCCCTGCTTGTCTGCAAGATAACTTAATTGGACAGCTTATTGGGGGAGTAAGAAACTTATGTAAAGCCCATTGAAATACTTAGGATTGCTGCTAAGTTGGCCTCCATCCAGAGATCTCCATTGAGCTTTCAATGGCTTCGATTGCCTTGGCCGTGGTTTCCGCACTTTGTACTATAGTTGGCCAAAACTCAAGTCAAGGCACACAAACTTTTCAGTTTCCTTTAGCACCATTTATATGCCAAAAGTCAAGTCGCAGCGGGACTTCCATGGAAATTTGTTCAACGCATGCCCCTTTGCCCGCCCTTTTTATTTGCCAAATTAAAAGGATTTCACTCGCTTTTCATATTTGCATTGGGGCTGTTTCACGTTTTATTCTTTTCATATTTTATCGCCGGCCCGTCAGGCATTTTCCCACGCAATCACCATAAAAAGAAATCTTTTCTGCCATATTTCTGCCGCCCCGCCGTGTCAGCTCCGGGTCCATCTCCTGCTCCATCTCCATGCTCCTGCTCCTGGTCCGGCTCCTGCTCCCCGGCAATTGTTATTCATGACCCAAAAGAACAGGGGCAGGGTGCGATGAGATGAGATGCAAAGGTGCGCATCCCATTGCTCCAATGGGCCGTGTCGGTTCTGAAATTCCCTGGCCACAGGACGCTCGTCATTCGTCGTTGTTAGTATTAATTATTTCTTAACTTTAGTGCCGCTCCTGCCAGCCAGCCAGCCAGCCAGGTTTATAAATAAATCGCAGATTCCCTGTCCTGCGAGGTCCAGTGTCCTATCTCTGCATCGTCCTGCTCCTGATTCTGGTCTGCTTCTGTTGCAGATTATGACCCCGAAAGTGGGAGGCTGTCTGCGGGGTATTTTATGGCTGAACTTTATTTACATTCACATGGCGAGCTGCTAAATAATCAGGACTCGGCTGGGCTGTTTCCACCCACTCATTTTGTTGGTTCGGTGCCATGGATGCGGGGTGTACAGGATATGCGGAGGAGCCTGGGGTGGCCATGGCCTGACCCGACGTACAAGGGCCACAGGTGCCGGGCAGCCAAGTTTAATTATTTGCCGTTGGCTTTGGATTCGTTCTGGCTCCGGTTCTGCCTCTGGTCCTGCCTGGGGTCCTCCTCATCCTCCTCCTCCTCCTCCTGGCTGGTGTCCTGCCCCCTGGCCATCCTGTCTGTCTGTTTGCTCGCCCGTTTGTTGTTAGTTCAGCCGCCTGGCTGCATTTTGCACTGGCGAAGCATTTTAAATCGCATAAAAGTCGGCAGCAGCAGCAGTCTACCCACACCCCCCACTCCCCTCTCCACAGACCCCCATTCATTATACCATTTCGGCTGTCCCCGCCTTTGCGTCAGTAATTGAAATTAAGTTGTTTCCAAATTGAGGCTCCTCCGCCGCCCACTTGTTAGCCCAAGTCATGGCCTGCATTTCGATGTCCTTGAGTGCTGCGAAAATGGTCCGAAAATGCGAGGAGTCGCCAAGTCGCAAAGTGCTTCGAAAGGCGCCAAAGAACTCGTTTCTGGGCAGATGGCTGTGTGCCCCAGTCACGCAGTTGGATGACAATCCTCCGCCTTGGCAATTCATTTAAGGGGCCTTCCAAATCATATCTTTGACTCGGCCAGTTTGCAGCTGCAAATGTCAACTGTCAAACGGGCAAAGTCGAAATTAGGCAAACAAAGAGCTTCGCAGCGAGTCCTGTCAGGATTTGCTCTTGTAAAACACTAAAAGGGGGAGGAACGTCGTCTAGTCCTACTCCAAATCAGAGACAGGGAAACGGAACCGCCCCGGCTGGAAAACAAGGATTCGCCAGCCACTTGACGCTTGTCATTGTCAGTTCTCGTAGTTGGGAAGTTGCGAGCACTTGACAAGCCTGATTGATGGCCTCGAACCAGCAGAGCGGAGGACGAACAGGACGAACAGGACAAACAGGATATCTGGTGGCTGGCACTCTTATCGCATCTAATTAAACTAAAAGTAAATGGCGCGTGCCATTTGAAAACGACATCCCAAAGCTTTTAAAAGCGAATCGAAAGCGAATCAGAGGGGATCCCAAGAGTGGATGGATCACTTGAGGATCTTGTTTGCTTGCCAGCTATTACGTAGCAGCATTGTTTTGGCATTTGTTTACGCCATTCGATCGCGGCGTTAATTGACCTAGAACCCTGATAACAATGCTGCACCTCCACATTTCCACCTCCATTTCCATGTGGGTGCGATAAGAGCAATGTCCGCAAGCGGCAGTTGTATAAAGTCTGCACAAATTCCATAATGAGCAAGGCTTCAGCCAATTAACACACTTCTCAACGATTTTCAATTTGCTGCCAGAGACGTGGCAACAAAGGAGAAAATATCATGGGGCGCACATTTTCAGTAACTTTTCGCCCCATCTCCCAGTGCTTATTTAGTTTGGAATTTATCAATTGAATTTTTAATTTCGCTTAAATGAGAAGCGCCGTCATCATCATTCTCGTCCTTGCCGTTGGTCCCATGCGGCGTATACGTAATTATGCGAGCGTGGATTATGGAAATGGCTGCTGATGCGGCGCCTTCCTTTTCCTTGAAAACCAACTCCTGCTGCTCACTTTGCTCCTTTTGCTCCTTGCTGCTCTTTCGCCGAGTGAAATTAAACGAAATGAAATTAAGAAAATATGTTGCAACTGTTTTGCCTGGCTGCGAAAACTTTTGTCCAAGGCTTGCCCGTGGAATTGTCTGTGCGGTGTTTGGCTTTATTTGCTAGTTGCCTGTTTTTCTGGGATTGCCGCTGCCACCATCGCAATCACCACCACCACCACCACCACCACCGCACAAAAGGCAACTTAATTTGCCATAAAAAGCCAGGGAGTCCTTGATTTGTTTTGTGTGTTGTGGTGTGTGTGTGTGTGTGCGGGGGCCGGAAATGAAATGATTTAATGAAATTGCCACAATTGCTGGGGAAAATCAGTAGCAGCAGCAGCAGCAGCAGCTACGACAGGAACACGGCCTGATGACAATGGTTTTGGCCAAACATTCAAGTTAATTGAAAAGGTTTTCCGAATAGCAGGGGCTAAGCGATTTTTAATTACCTGTTATTGTGCATAGAGTCCTGGCTCCTGGAGGTGCCTTCCTCGGAATTAATTGAGTGCTAAGTTGATGGCAGTCTTACCTGTTCGGTGTGCGGATTTACTGCCTGACCATTTCCTCCAAATCGACTTCCTTCACTCCCTGTTTTCCGCCCATCTGTCGGGTTTTACACCTCCTTTGTCTTCTCAGTTTACCCAAGTTTTTATGATGGCCCAAGGCGCAGATGTCAGCTGCATATATGTGCATATGTAAATAAGACACGGGTGTGCATAGATTGAGATTATCTGCCGGCTGCCGGAGATATTTGTTCCGACTTTGGTTCAATGGAGGAGGGGCATCGATTGCATCGGAATTAGCAAATGAATCCGTTCGGCTGACATTTCCCAGCCTGGGCGTGCTCAAATTGCAAATGAATGCCGGCTGCCCAAGATAAACCCGATTGGGAATGCATAAGTAAATTACCATTTCCATAGAGATGGGTAATGTTACTGCTGCTGCCCTTTGATCTGCATTTTGCAATTTAATCCCCCGCACATTTCAGAACAAGGCCAGCTTTATATTTGCCCACCAACGTGTGTGAAAGTACACCGTTTATTTCCGCTAAAAAAATACAAATATTTCAGGGCCGTGAAACAACAAAATGAATCGAGCAGTATTGCCTTGAACTGGGGTCATTTTCAATGGGGCAAAGGGTTATCATCGGTTAAGTGGGGTGGAAAACCAACAACTAAAAGGGCAACATATTTAAAAACATAAAAACACATGGAAAATGCTAATAAAATGTAAACAAATCGTATTTTAAAAGGCCAGGTAAATTTAGAAGGGCCAAGTCCTATCTTTTCTGTTTCAAAACTCAACAGAACTTTATTGTTCAGCCATTATGTGATGAACTTTTCTTTTTTAAAATAAGGAATACAATGTCTTACCCTTTCCCAATGCAATCCTACGGCATACATTTCATGGTCAGGTAACAACAAAGCTGATAGTTAAGTGCAAAACGCGTGCAAGTGATTTTTATTCGCGGACAAAGGGTTATCATAGTTCAATAGCTTGGGAATTGTACACGAAATGAGTCGCTGTAAATAATTCCACTGAGTCTGGTGCAAACCTGAATGAAGCTGCTCTAATCATTGCTTTTGTGCTATTCAATTGCAGATCCGGCACGTGCTGAACAAAAATGCAGAAGATATATTAAGAGCAGACTGATCGACAGAAATCCAAATCCAAACTAGTCACGAAACGTGCAGAGAGCAAAAAAACCAAGAAGGCACTAATCAAAGGCAAAAGAAAACAGAGGCAGACGCGAATTCGAAGCCACTGCGATGCGTAGGAGGCGTGGCACGCCCCTGGGCGGCAGCTGGACGAACTGCGTCCTGCTGCTAGCCACTGGTGTGCTCCTGGTGCTCATCTCGGTGCAGGCCAAGAATCCCCGCTCCCACCGCGGACTGCCTGCTCCCGCGGATCGGGTGACGCAGGGGAACGCCCACAGGCGGGAGCACTCCGCGGATGAGGACCTCCTCCAGCGTCCCAGCGAGGAGGACCCCCATCACCACCACCATCGACAGCAGTTCGATGCGTATCTGGGAACGATTCGGCGACTGCGGAGACCCTACCGCAGCAAGTACACCATCGAGCAGCTGATGCGCCTGCATGTGACACCAAAGGTATCCGGAGACATTGACATGGATCCCTGCAAGGCCGGTGAGTACGGGTGCACATATCGCACATCCTGCATGCCCATCATTCCCACCCCTTATCCCACATCCCAAGGGTCACGGAAATGGCTTCACATTTGCCTTGCCTCGGCGTTGATTCAACTCCGCCGTAAGCCAATCTCTAAGCCCCGAATCTATATATTTACACACGGAGAAACCAATTTGATAAGTCTTTAATTAATTTCAAATAGTGATTTATTTATTACAAATATATTTAGAATGATCAAGATCGGAAAGAAACCATCTAAGCCGCTTGATTTGTTCTTAATCATTAGTACTTATGTGTATTTCCTAAGGTCTTGGAAGTACACATGAAGTTCTAACGACTTTGAAATACATATATGTTTAGTATGAAAACATATATCCATTAATTTGAGTCCCATATTCTCTTATGGGTGAAAAAGGTTCCACTTAATTATTCATGTCTTTCCATAGGTTATTTTTACAAAAGATTTTTCAATCAGATAATAAGTTCAGGAACTTGAAAGCTAATGTTTTATTTAGGAATGTCTTTAAGTAAACATTTTCTGGCTTCCAGGGAAACAATAAAATATTTGTTTCAGTGCATTTCTATATGAGATTTTGCCGATACCCCAGTCAAGTCGTGGCAAGACAAAAGCTTTGAAAATTGTGTTAGCCTGCGAGTTTGAGTAAAAGCGAAAAGTCTTGTTAACTCGAGACGTAGACAGGCACACACACGTGGAAGCAAGTCATCCTGCCCCCAATCTCTCCTCCACCCCCCGCCACCCCCCGCTGCCCCACTCGACATTATTTATGGCCACCACCCCTCCGGCAAGAAACCCCCTCGAAAACCCCGGCAGCCGCTTGTTGCAGCGCTGGAAATTAAGCGCTATTGTGGCATGCCCCCTCCGATCGGAACCGCTTCCCAGCTCGATTCAATTGAATTTACCTTAGTTTGCAAAAAGACGAGGGGAAAATAATAAAAAGAATCCAGGGAAAAATGTAAGGAAATTGACTGCGAGAGCAGTGCGAACGCGAATGGGAATGCGTCGGGACGTATCAATGGCTGTCTCCTCGGCAACTCGGCTTCTCGGCTTGTCCGGATCCGGATCCACATCCGTATCCATGTCCTGGTCTGAGTTTAAGTCGGCGCTTGTGTCTGCCACCGGCAGAGCTCCGACTTCGATTGCAATTTGTCTGCCTCGAAGTGGTAGAAGGCAAGTTTATCTGCGGGTCTATCTATAAGTATTTGCTCGCATCAATTGTCAAAAAGTTATACCTCCCCAACCCACCGAGCACCCACTGACACCCACTCAAGGACGGAGTACTCAAAGGATGCGTATATTGAAGGGAAAACGACTTCCGCCCTCACTATCCTTCCAATGTGTCGTCAAGTGCTTGACAATGGCAAACGATAGGGGTTTTGTGAATGAAATAAGCAACATTATTTCGGTATTTATCTGATGATGTGCTTCAAATTCCATAAATGTACAGAGGCATAACTAACTTTAAATTTCGACTGATTTAAATATTTCAATTTATAATCATTTTAGCCATCTCCCAATTGCAATCATTAATAAAAGGTGGAAGTTGGGCAAATGATATACAATTATGTTCTTAGTTGTTTATATTAAATAGAAGATGAAAAATTATACAAGCTTAGCATTTAAATTGCCTTGAAAATATAATATTTGTTTATGGATGTAATTTTGAACATTTTACAGGCTCTTATGAGCCGTGACTTTACCTTATCGCCTCCCATTTACGAGCCTTGTGGCTCCCTGACTCCCAAGTTTGGCACTTTGATAACCAGATAGGTCACACCGCCACATATATCACCCATCTGCAGGCGTGCCTGCGAACTTCTTGGCGCCTGGAGGCCATGGAACTCCTCCCTCCGTGATTTCACAATCAATCATGTCCGTCTCGGGTGCTTTTTTGGCTCCACAATTAATGAACTGTTTGCATTTGCCGTTGCCCTGTGAAAAAATTGGGTCAAAATAGTCGACTTGTATTGCACAGAGTTCCAATGAATGGTTTCTAATGTATGCAAATGCACGAGGATATCCATTGAAGCGGGGGAAAAGTAAACAATGTTTCCCCATTTTCTCTCCACGCACAAAGCAACCTAATTGAATTTCGGACTGCGATGAGGGGGCCCAACTAATCAACTTTCAATTGAAGTTGGAAGCAATTTCAAACTCGAAAATTTAATTTGCCAAAAATGTGCAGTGCGTTGCAGACAGGAAAATCCCCAGAAGAGCACTCCAACTCGCTCGCACGCATTACTCAGCCATTTTCCCCGAAAGTTAATTAAGGCCTTTGAAGCAGGGGCGCCCGAAAGTAGGCAACACAAAAGCGTTTAGCAATGCGAACTCCCACACGCGTGTCATAATGCGTTCGTAGGCCAACACTTTAAGGAATTTACGGCTGCTGCTCAGTGCAGACTCGCTAATTAATTTGCATAAGCCGGTTGGGAGTGCAGGGTGCCTCCATCACAAAGGCGGGGCAACGAGGCGTGGTGACCGTGGGCGGGACCAGAAATCAAACCGCAAATGGCACTGTGCAGCATGCCCGTCCAAGGACCAGATCGCAGTGAAGTCGACTCAGACGACAGTAATGATGACAACAGCATCACAATAACAACCGCAAAGCCAGGACGACCGAAATGTCAGGAGGCGAAGGCGCGATGGCTTCAAGTGGCCTGGAAGGCGCTCGCTCCGCACACAAAACTCAAACAGCCTGCCCAAGTGACTGCAAATAATTTCCCCCTAACCACCCACCACACACAACCACACCTACACACTTGTTCGCGGGGAGTCCCCTTTCAGGACGCACACCCACATTGATAGAGCCCTTGCGAAATGGCAAGAATGGCAGAATGGTTCGGCTGAAAGGCAACAAACTAACGCCACTCGCGCTCTCAAATAAAAAGGCACTTCGGAGGCATTGCATGCATTGCTGCAGGATGAAGGATGCAGGACGCGGAAGTGGGGGCCAGGATAGAGATGGAATCGGGTCGTGTTTTACAGAAACCGCAGTTCAGATGGGAAATACTCAATATGAACAAAGTGCATGTCATAAATACGCCACTAAAGTAATCGTATTGTAGAAGAAATAAGAAGAGGAAAGATTCACTATAAATTAATTAATAAACGATTATTTGAAATATTTTTAATTATGATCATTTTTGTAGAAGAACAGAGGGGGATATAAACGAATTCAAGAATTGCAGGATTCAGATAAATTATTTTATTGTCTCACTTGTATTTGTTACGATTAGTAGATTTACGATTTGTTACGATTAGTAGTAATAACAATAATGTTATACATACTATTATATTAAGAAATTATAGTTCTTAAAGGATTAAGTTTCTTCAAAATATTTTGAATTTTTATAGGTAATTTTCGGTACCTTTCCCGCAGTGTAGGAAATATCCTTCGAAATCCTTCGACTTCCCGCAGCGCTTTTAGAAAGTCCATCGCTAGATTAAGCCAGAGCCCGATGCCAGAAACTATTTACAATTCGCACTTTTGGCATTGTGCAGACGGATTGAGTTAGTTTGTAGCTTTTTCGAGGTGGTGGATGTGGATGTGGATGAGGACGAGGACGATGGAGGGCTGCAGGCGCAGATTGTTGGGATGCTCACCGCAAAACAGCCAGCAGGATCAGCTTACAAAGCCGCAGAACGTGGCAATGGGCTGGCAAACTTTTCGGGAGGGGAACTTTGTATGCCCTTAATTAAAAACCACATCTATTTAATGCTTAACTTCGTTTCATCTCTATATATAAACACATAAATTGAATTAATTCTCTGTCCGCCATGCCAAACAAATTGCTTTCGTTTATGCAAATTAATTTGTTTGCCATACACATTTGCCCAGAGTCATTGGCCCCATTCCAGCTGTCAGTTTTCCCCGCTTCCTCGATGACAATAGATTTATGCTCGGTCCTCGGAACTGGGTGCTTTATAAGCCTGATGACAGATTCGGCATGCTTTCGACCAAAGCTATCGGAGATGGCAAAAGCGAATCTTGTTCTTTGGACGAACCAAAAGCAAGAAAAGGAAAAGCAAGGAAAAAGGAAGTGCAGCTGCGGAAATGTTGGAAAACAGGAAGTGAGGCAGCTGATTTTGAGACTCCTCAAAGGATTTACTGGCTGAAGGGGCTTTGCCTGCTTTGCTTTTGTAATAGTTACCCCACCTGACTGCCAAACGTTTACAGATTCAACCAGAGTTCAGCATTTCAGGTGCATTTATTGAAATGACATTACCCATACGCCCTGTGTTCGAAACAGGCAAACGAGCAGAAACATGTGTAAATAAAATAAACTTGCATTTAAGCTGTTTACATAATTAATTAATGCCAACAAGAATGGCATGTCTCGAATGGAGGAGGGGGTTTAAATGTGTGGATTCCGCAACAGTTGAAGTTGCGACAGCAGGATGCATTCCCAAACTTTTGGCTGTGTGTGTGTGTGCCCCATTCCCACACATGCACACATGCACACATAAAACAAACAATTGCCATGTGTCTGAGCAACCTGTTTGCCAGAATTTGTTATCCTCGCCGGCTGTATGCTGCAATCATTGTTTATGCAAATTGGCATAAATAAACAGGCGAAGCAAACAAGCTCAAAAGCCGCTCAGATAATGCCACAAAATGGAGCTTATGTTTTTGGCCCACATACACAAGCTCGAAATTCGCATACATAAAGCAGATATATAAATATCCTTATTCGTGTGAGCGCCTGCAGCTGTGTAATTTATGCAAATCGCATTTTAAATTGTAAATGTTATTTTAATTGTTCAGCCATTGCCCCAGATTCCGGAAAGGGCGATATCAATCGAATTAATCCGCCCGGCAACGGATGACCAAAGCAGATCCGAACTACAATTTATGATTTCCATTTCAAATTTCCATATCCTGCATATATCCTTACAGGATCCTGCTGAGCTGCTCTGCTCCCGGCAAGAAAATGGAGTGAAAGCGACAGACCAAAGACAAATTGAATGCGTTCTCCCA